CTCCGCCATAGACTCCGCCACTCATTGTCTGATTGATTGCTATTTAATCACAATTTAAACCCCAATTCAATGCAATTGTTGTCCAAATGTTTTCAAACAAATGCTCATAAAAGCAGTGCTTCTCTGCACACCTTTCAACACAATTTCATTTCCACTCGCATTCACCCATAAGAATACATTCAACTTCACTGCACAACACCAACACATTGAGCGCTATGTGGGAAGTATTGCAGCGAAACAAAAGTGATATCGAAGGGGCTGTCGATTGAGTAGAAATAGACAATGAAATATTGTGTGATATTTGACGGCATTAAAGATTCAATGATTAATTTTAATAACATTAATTCATAAATAACGTACGAATATTAAATATTTAAATAATTAAATTAAATTAAATTATGGTCAATTAAAAGTAATCTTCAAAAATGACATTTAAATAGGGAGCAAATATTGACCCAGTACAGTAAATGTAATACATTTGTTATATAAATGACTATAACTGTAACTGTAATATACTGTACATGTATGTAAGTGTACTGTATGTGCCGGCTCCTTTCCCCTTTCAATGCATTATTGAAGTGTGAATTCAATGCATTTGAATGAATTGCTTTGCATTTGTTATATGTTTTCATTGTTTTATAAATCTTTATTAAACGCATAAAATGTGTTACTTTTGACACATTTGTGGACAACAACTTGAATCATATGTTTAGGTATTTATTCATTGTTTACTCATTAGCTGTAAGTTTGTGTAATTCATGTCAATTAAAGATAAACACAATTTAGTGAACATGTGTTGACTATCACACATGCATTGAGTCATTACAATATAGCATAGCAAAGCATCCTGGTCAGTCCAACAAACCCCGTTTATTTAGGATTCCCCGATTATTATCGGCAACACAGTATAGATGAGTGAATGTAGCATGGTCATGCCGGCAAATACAGTATAATAATATTCTATAAATATATGATTGTATATAAAAGTATATAAAAGTCGAGTGCAAGTGATGCTTAACTTTGGATCACATGAATGATTGATGCCTTCAATTGATTTGTGTATCATTTTGATTGCAATTATTTAGAATATGACCATGGTCAATGTATTACCAGTACAATTACGTTTATTAGAATAAATTATAAAATGTATACTATAAATGATAACTTACTAGTTAGTGTATTATTCTAACTTGTAAGTGTATAAAATGAACCTGGTGTGCATTATTAGATGTGAAATATTGTCATATATTTCTTAATCACATTTAATGTTTTCAAATCTTGAAAATATTCTAAATTTGTAACAAGCCACATTTTAATCGTATACAGTGAAAATTGCAATTAATTAATTAACCAGGATCTCATCCTTAGCTTTAATTATTTCCAATAGTTTTTATTATTATTACCTCAAAGATTCAAATGACAATAATTGTTTATTATTTATAAATTATTTTTAAATAACACCTGGAGCACTTACCTCGCATGTTTAATTGTTATTCTCATTTACAATATTAAAATTGTGTTTGCATTTATTTACAGTCAATGTTTCACTTTTTAATAAGTAAAACATGAATTGTTTGGAAACCTAAAAAGTCAATTCTGTAGCTATTATAGCAGTACTTATAATAACTATATGTTTGCTTAATTATTAGTTAGACTTTAGCTTGTTTCAATACTTTGGGCAAATTCTTTGGTTTTATTAAATATGAATAGAAAAAGTTGTAAATGAGCTGGTAAACTAAATGATACAATGTATGAATTAATTGCAAACTAAACGCTTGACTCACACATAGGATAATAGTAACCTATATATGGTTATGGATTATGTTCCGGGAGGAGAGTTGTTCTCCCATTTAAGACGAATAGGAAAGTTTAGGTACAGTTCCACCAATTTTTCATTTTAAGCTCAAAGGCAACACTCGTTTCTATCGTCTTTACTCTTTTCTCCGGTCTTTTCTCTAACAATACAACAAATTCTCTAATAATATGTCATTTTGTGAACCGATTGTCTGATTGGGACACCTATTGTCTCGCTGTTGACTTGTGTTGTGATGTGTGTTGTGTTTGACTCCTATTTGTAGGACAATTCCTACTTATATATGGTTCTCGAGTACGTTCCCGGAGGAGAGATGTTCTCACACCTCAGGAAAAGTGGCAGATTTAGGTAATGGGATATCACTCTCTCCAACAGCCCTTTCCTCCCTTCCCCTTCACTTCTTCCTATGTTTCCATTCTTTCTATATATTTGTCGACTGCTTGTGCTTTTGAGCTCTAATTTATGAATTCATTTTAATTATAATGAAATGATTAAAACTGATTGTTATTTGTTTCGCACGGATAGTGAACAGGCGGCCCGTTTCTATGCCGCACAAATCGTGTTAGCGTTTGAATATTTGCATTATTTAGATCTCATTTATCGCGATTTAAAGCCCGAAAACTTATTAATTGATAACCAGGGTTATATCAAGGTTTGTTTACGGCCCGTTTCTATGCCGCACAAATCGTGTTAGCGTTTGAATATTTGCATTATTTAGATCTCATTTATCGCGATTTAAAGCCCGAAAACTTATTAATTGATAACCAGGGTTATATCAAGGTTTGTTTTCAATATTTTTTGCCACATTTCAATGATTCCTGTTCCTAATTCATTATTTGGTGTTCAGGTAACAGATTTTGGTTTTGCCAAACGAGTAAAGGGCAGGACATGGACTCTATGCGGAACTCCAGAATATTTAGCCCCAGAAATAATTTTAAGCAAAGTATGTATTATTAGAATTTTGTGTGAATAGAGTAACAAATTAATTGTTGTCTTCTTTTCAAAGGGTTATAATAAAGCCGTCGGTAAGTAATGAGAGATTTGTTGTCGATTTGGACTAATTCGTGGACTGGTATGCAATAGACTGGTGGGCATTGGGTGTACTCATCTACGAGATGGCCGCGGGTTATCCTCCATTCTTTGCCGACCAACCCATTCAGATATACGAGAAGATAGACGGCCCGTTTCTATGCCGCACAAATCGTGTTAGCGTTTGAATATTTGCATTATTTAGATCTCATTTATCGCGATTTAAAGCCCGAAAACTTATTAATTGATAACCAGGGTTATATCAAGGTTTGTTTGAAATATTTTTTCCTACATTTCAATGATTCCTGTTCCTAATTTATTATTTGGTGTTCAGGTAACAGATTTTGGTTTTGCCAAACGAGTAAAGGGCAGGACATGGACTCTATGCGGAACTCCAGAATATTTAGCCCCAGAAATAATTTTAAGCAAAGTATGTATTATTAGTATTTTGTGTGAATAGAGTAACAAATGAATTGTTGTCTTCTTTTCAAAGGGTTATAATAAAGCCGTCGGTAAGTAGAGAGAGTTGTTGTCAAAGAGATGATTTGGACTAATTCGTGGACTGGTATGCAATAGACTGGTGGGCATTGGGTGTACTCATCTACGAGATGGCCGCGGGTTATCCTCCATTCTTTGCCGACCAACCCATTCAGATATACGAGAAGATAGTGTCTGGAAAAGTACGCTTTCCCTCGCATTTTAGTTCAGAACTTAAAGAACTGCTGAGAAATCTATTACAAGTCGACTTAACCAAACGTTACGGCAATCTTAAGAATGGCGTCAATGACATCAAAGGTCATCGATGGTTCAGTTCCACCGATTGGATCGCAGTCTACCAGAAAAAGGTATGCTTTGTGTGATAATTGTATGCAATCAATGGTTAATAGATACGATCGACACGAATAACCAATGCTTTACTAACACTTGAATCAAGCCTTTACTCCCAATCTAATGAAAACTAATATGATTTTTGCATTTTTTATTTGCATGTCTTGTATTGCATTACAATAACTATCTTTTGCACTAATTCTCACTACCACTCACTCGACCACTGACTGCACACCCACTGCGCCCATGCATGCACTGACACCCACTGTGACCTACCTGGCCATTGCCGGCTCCTACTGTAGTTGCCTCGAGTGCCTCTGGTGCCAAAGTTGACACACAGTGGGGACACTCGTCACTTCGAGCAGTACGAAGAACTGCCCAAATCTGTATTCAGTCGACGCAATGTCGACAACTGTTTCACTCAAGAATTCAAAGACTTTTAGCCCAATAACCAAATATCCAATATATGCCTAATGTATAGAATAATAGTGAATGTTTTGCATTGTTTGCTGTCGTCCTGTGGACGGTTAGGTTGAGGCGCCGTTTCTGCCCAAATGTAAAGGACCGGGCGATACGTCGAACTTCGACGACTACGAAGAGGAGACTCTTCGTATATCGAGTACAGAAAAGTGTGCGAAAGAATTCAGTGACTTTTAACTGACTTTTCAGTGACTTTTAACATTGAATTCACTAATAAGTCATTAATAATAACATATTTCCTCAAACTGTTGGCTCATCACAAGAATCGCTCGAATCATGGAATCAATGACCGGAAGTGCAAACCACACATACATTGGCTACCGATTCGCCACCGATTCGATCGCTCGCCTCAACACCTGATCGATGAATGATTACAATAATTGACAACAAATTCTGATATATTCTCATCAAAGTAGTGAACAGACGGACAGTCAGTCAGTCAAACCAACAGTTCTCGAACCATACATCACATCACCTTTTGGTGCAATTCTTGCTTTCAATCATTGCTTACTTCGGACTCATTTCTGCTCCAAACAAACAATTGTCTAATTTTTATTATGCATTCATTATGAATAGTGATTGAGTGCCACATCTTGTATATAGTGATAACTCTTAGACTCTATACCTATGACTCTATGAACGTCGGCAGCAAACCATCAAACCATACAAAACCCATATTATTATTATATAAATAATAATTATTGAATTTAGTTTACAATTGGAATGGTTTAGGGCTAATACAAAACAATACAAATCAATTCAATTCAATTACAATACAAACACTTTCATCAACTCTAGTCGTTAGTAGGATTTTACAGATTTTAAAATTTAATAAATAAATAAATAAATAATTTAATTGTCATTTGACTGTAAGTCCTTTTAATAATAATAATAATAACAATTTTCAATTGACTACTAATTAATACATTTGTCTCATATTTATGTTTATCCTTTTGATTCGTTTCCCCTTATTTGAGATCGAGTCGTCCAACACTTTAGGGATGGCATGAAATGCTTGTCTACACTGACCCGTCATTATCAACAGATCACCATCTCTTAGATATAAGGATGTTATTGGTTTAGACGACCCTTTAGTTGTGTCTCCGATCAGGAATATAGCACTTGAGCCCAGACTTAGACTAAATAGTGGGGCACTTGTGTTGGGCTCGGAATGATCGGAATGCGGACACAGAGTCGAGCCGTTGGTATAGTAATTGATAAGACCTGCCTCTCCTCGATATTCGTCAAATCCTAGCGACCGACTCATGTATTCAAACAATTGCTGTATAGATAGGGGAATAGGACTTGGCGTGGACTGGTTGTACATTTTAGTGTCCCAATTGTGATGGTATCCAAAGCTAATCCATCGCAGGTTCGAGTCCTCAATCGGTTTAGTCGGCGGCAGAGATATGTTTGCCTTTAAGTGTTGGCTTTCATTGAACGGCAATTCTTGCAATAAATAATTAAACCATTTTTGCGACGACTCTTTTTGCAGAATCTCTGGAATCACTAGAAGTCCTTCAATGGCATCGATTGCAAACATTTTCCATTCGTTTGTTGAGCGAAAATGCTCTTTCATTGGACTCTCGATATAGTTGTTTAAATTGATAGCAATCTCTCGTATGCCATGTCTTTGTAAACCATTGTCCGAAAAGTCAATGATTTGATCACTTTCTGTGTTTGACTTTAAATATTCGTTGTTTTTATAGTATTTAAAGACTGGTTTGAAATGATCCTTCTCTTGGACCCCATTCGCAGACATCTCGTCCAATGTCTGCAATAAAATTGTTTTTAAAACATATCTTTTTATTTCTGATTTTTGTTTCCATTTGTTGTATAATTTAATTTTGTTTTGCTTTTGTTTGGCAACTATTTTTATAATTTATAACTTATATATCATTTATTTATTGACAATTTGCGAGTCAATTCATGCAATATATATGATATGATATCGTATTTATAATTAATTATTTAATAAACGCTTGAGTTTTGAGTTCTCAGTATTTCATGTCTATTTGATGTCTATTTTAAGCAATGGTTAAAAACAAACGCAAACGTAATAAGGAGTGAAGACATCACATGAAGTCTTTGTATGTTATGATAAATATAGACATCCTATGAATGAGCCGTTGATTGAGATACCAATGATTTGCCTCATATTTACAGCAATTAATGCATTGAATGACGTAATGGAGCCATAATTTGGTCCAAATATTACAAACAAATTATTTTTGTATTCATTTTAAGTGAAGCTTCAAATGTGCGACAAATCTATTATTTGATACCATTTCAGCCCTTTTTAAGCCTAATATTGAATCATATGATCAAGAATTTGAAAGTTTGTCTGCAAATAATATTCTTTGCAATTTTATTAAATTTTATATGCTACATGTACATGTACCAGCTCATTTACAACTTTTTCTATTCATATTTAATAAAACCAAAGAATTTGCCCAAAGTATTGAAACAAGCTAAAGTCTAACTAATAATTAAGCAAACATATAGTTATTATAAGTACTGCTATAGTAACTACAGAATTTACTTTTTAGGTTTCCAAACAATTCATGTTTTACTTATTAAAAAGTTAAACATTGACTGTAAATAAATGCAAACACAATTTTAATATTGTAAATGAGAATAACAATTAAACATGCGAGGTAAGTGCTCCAGGTGTTATTTAAAATTACTTTATAAATAATAAACAATTATTGTCATTTGAATCTTTGAGGTGATAATAATAAAAACTATTGGAAATAATTAAAGCTAAGGATGAGATCCTGGTTAATTAATTAATTGCAATTTTCACTGTATTCGATTAAAATGTTGCTTGTTACAAATTTAGAATATTTTCAAGATTTGAAAACATTAAAATTTAATGTGATTAAGTATGACAATATTTCACATCTAATAATGCACACCAGGTTCATTTTATACACTTACAAGTTAGAATAATACACTAACTAGTAAGTTATAATTTATAGTATACATTTTATAATTTATTCTAATAAACGTAATTGTACTGGTCATATGGTCATATACATTGACCATGGTCATATTCTAAATAATTGCAATCAAAATGATACACAAATCAATTGAAGGCATCAATCATTGATGTGATCCAAAGTTAGGCATCACTTGCACTCGACTTTTATATACAATCATATATTTCTAGAATATTATTATACTGTATTTGCCGGCGTGACCATGCTACATTCACTCATCTATACTGTATTGCCGATTATTGTAATCCTAAATAAACGGGGTTTGTTGGACTGACCAGGATGCTTTGCTATGCTATATTGTAATGACTCAATGCATGTGTGATAGGCAATCAATATATTCACTAAAATATCTTTAATTCACATCAATTACACAAACTTACAGCTAATGAGTAAACAATGAATAAATACCTAAACATATGATTCAAGTTGTTGTCCACAAATGTGTCAAAAGTAACACATTTTATGCGTTTAATAAAGATTTATAAAACAATGAAAACATATAACAAATGCAAAACAATTCATTCAAATGACTGCCAAACTGTAAATGAATTAAGTGGTCAATGATTGCAAAACATTTAATTCACACTTCAATAATGCATTGAAAGGGGAAAGGAGCCGGCACATACAGTACACTTACATACATGTACAGTATATTACAGTTATAGTCATTTATATAACAAATGTATTACATTGACTGTAATGGGTCAATATTTGCTCCCTATTTAAATGTCATTTTTGAAGTTAATTTTAATTGACCATAATTTAATTTAATTTAATTATTTAAATATTTAATATTTGTACGTTATTTATGAATTAATGTTATTAAAATTGATCATTGAATTTTTAATGCCGTCAAATATCACACAATATTTTATTGTCTATTTCTACTCAATCGATAGCCCCTTCGACATCACTTTTGTTTCGCTGCAATACTTCCCACATAGCGCTCAATGTGTTGGTGTTGTGCAGTGAAGTTGAATGTATTCTTATGGGTGAATGCGAGTGGAAATGAAATTGTGTTGAAAGGCGCGCAGAGAAGCACTGCTTTTATGAGCATTTGTTTGAAAACATTTGGACAACAATTGCATTGAATTGGGGTTTAAATTGTGATTAAATAGCAATCAATCAGACAATGAGTGGCGGAGTCTATGGCGGAGGTATGTGTGAGACAATGGAGACAATGAGGGTTAATGAGGTGATGGTGTGTTTGCAGACGAGGTCGGGGCCCTTGTCTTCGATGTCGGGCACTACTCATTCCGCGGCGGTTATGCCGGCGAAGACTCGCCTAAGACTGAGATCCCAACTATGGTTGGAGTGATCAATGAGTTGGTTGAGTGCAATGCTATGGAAATGGATGGCACGCCAGGGATGACGAAGAAGCACTTCATTGACACCACTTCTATCCATTCCCCGCGAAAAGGGATGGAAATGACAACCTTTTTGAAGGACGGGATGAGTATGTCTTCACTGATGACAGACTTCGCCATTGATTAACATCTAAATTGCTATCGTTTTAGTCGAAGACTGGGATCTGTTTGAGAAGATTATGGATTATGTGTACAAAAAGCACTTGAAATCTGATTCACTGTTACATCCGGTGCTGTTCTCTGAAGCGCCGGTAAGTTGTGTTGAAATGTGTACTGAAATTCGGTTTTAATGATTGGATTGTCCTATAAGTGGAACATCAGAGCAAAGAGAGAGAAGTTAACGGAAATAATGTTTGAAAAGTACGGAATCCCCGCCTTCTTCCTCGTCAAGAACGCCGTTTTGGCCGCTTTTGCCAACGGGAAGGCCACTGGCATTGTCTTGGACTCCGGCGCCAGTCAGACATCAGCCGTTCCCGTACACGACGGGTATGTCATACAACAGGCTATAGTGAAGTCCCCTCTGGCGGGAGACTTCATGACATTGCAGAGCAGGAACTACTTCGATGAGCACAACGTCGAGATTGTTCCCTATTATGCCGTCGCAGCCAAGGAAGTGGTCAAAGAGGGAGAGCCCGCCAAATGGACGCGACGCTCAACCATTCCCGATGGGCTCACCAAGTCGTGGACTAATTATATGGCTAAAGGCGTACTCCAGGACTTCCAGGCGTCGGTCCTTCAAGTGAGTGACTCTCCGTATGACAAGGAAACGGCAGAAAATATGCCGACCGTTCACTACGAGTTCCCCAACGGATACAATCAAGACTTCGGTTCCGAGCGCTTCTTAATACCAGAAGCACTGTTCGACACGTCAAACATCAAAGGCATCAGCGCTTCGGTGATGGGAATGTCACAAATCGTCACCACAAGTGTCGGTATGTGTGACATCGATATGAGACCATCTCTTTATGGCTCTGTCATCACGACGGGAGGCAATACTCTCATACAAGGCTTCACTGACCGACTCAACCGAGACTTGACTACCAAAACCCCTCCCGTATGTCTTAAAAGTTAACCACTTGTTGTATAATAGTCTTATAAAATTGTCTGAATGTCCAGAGTATGAGACTTAAAGTTCTGAGCACTAACTCGACGGTAGAGAGACGTTACGGCGCGTGGATTGGGGGCTCTATTCTCGCTTCTCTGGTGAGTTTGACATTCATTTATTGTATGAATAATGTCTAATGTCTATCTAATCTGTATTTTTAGGGCACTTTCCAACAGATGTGGATTTCCAAACAAGAGTACGAAGAGGGCGGTAAGGCTCAGGTGGATCGCAAGTGTCCATAACTTCATGCTTTTATATTCACTTTATTTGCTGCCATTTTTACTAAAACATTATTTTAATTTAATTTTCATTTTATAAATCAATAAACTTTCATATTTGGCTCATTATAATATCATGCATTTTACTATTCAACAATTTGTCTTAAGCAATGTCAATTTTTAATATACCGGTATTTACGACAAGTTACCGCAGATACCGGTACTATAGTGGTAGCATGGTTGTAAAACTTTTGATATGCCATTGTAATTAATGATTGGAAATATTACCGTACTTTACTTGTATTGACTAAACAATTATATTGTACAATAAAAGTGTCCATTCAGTTGAAAGGTGTGTCCATTAAACTATACTTTGAGTCCATCGTTTAATCATTTGTTTTCACAATGCACTCAATTTACAGGTAATGAGTCGTTAAACGTTGTTTCCCTCCTAAAATTACTGGTAAAAAGTCAAATGATAGTTAAATGAACTCAAATTCACTTAAAAATTTGTTTATTTGTTCACAACTTTTTCAAAGTGTTCAAAGATTTTTGAAAGCTTTAAGACCTCAAGTTTGTATAAGTTATGAATTGATGATAGACTGGTTGTGCTACTGTAATGTACTCGGAGTTTGTACTCAAAGTCTCAAATGAATAGAGAGTACTTTGATTACGAGTTGAGTACTGAATTGAATACTGAATTGACTGTTCAATGCATTTAAACGACAAACTGTTCAATGATTGCAATTGTAATCCAATTGAGAGCCAATAATAACGTGTGGTTTGACGTGCAGTACAGAGAGTGTGTTTTGGACTTCAGTTGTCATTGAATAGTGAAGTGATTGACAGACAGACTGTTCACTCGTATATCAGGAAAAGGCATTCATTTAGTGAACACTTCAGCACTTGTTTACCATTCAATTGTCTCTTTACTTGCGTTGACTCAGTGGTGATCGCGATGTTAAACACGGGGTATGTATTCATTAGGACTTGTTTTGTAGACATGAGATAATCATTGGATAATCAATAGAGTATTTGCCGGCAAAACAGTGTTCATATCTGGAGGAAGTCGTGGTATCGGGAAAGCCATTGCTCTCAAAGTAGCCAAAGACGGCGCAAATGTGGTGATCGCCGCCAAGACTGTCGATAAACACCCCAAACTCGAGGGCACTATCTATAGCGCTGCTGAGGAAGGTTTGTGATCATGTCATTGATTATGCAGTCATTCATATCTGTTGTGATAAAACAGTTGAATCGGTTGGTGGCAAATGTCTGCCCATTCAGTGCGACCTCAGGGATGAAGAGTCGGTTAAGAGTGCCTTCGAGAAGACTATCAAACAGTTTGGAGGTCTCGATATACTGGTCAACAACGCCAGTGCCATCAGTTTGACAGGTATTTGGGATACAATTTATTGTCATTCAATGCATTCATTCATTGATTGTTGGGTTTGGTATGAAAGGTACGGAACAGACGTCGATGAAGAAGTATGACTTAATGCACTCAATCAACACGAGAGGCACTTACATGGCCTCCAAGTATGCCATCCCTCACCTGAAGAAGGCATCTAATCCTCATATTCTGAATCTGAGTCCACCGCTGGTGATGACTGCCAAATGGTTTGAGAATCACGTGGCCTACACGATGGCCAAGTATGGTATGTCTATGTGTGTCCTGGGAATGGCCTCTGAGTTCAAACCGGATGGCATTGCTGTGAACGCTCTTTGGCCGCGAACTGCCATTTGGACGGCGGCTATGAGTATGATTGGTGCGGGAGATCCGGGAATGGCTAACAGTTGTCGAAAGGTCGACATTTTGGCCGATTCTGCGTACGGCATACTCTCCAAGAACTCAAAGTCCTTCTCCGGAAACTTCGTGATAGACGAGGACTTTCTGCG